TCCTATCCAAGATCTGTACTGGTTGTTCCTCATACGTCAACTCTTCTTCTAACTCCACAGGTTGGTATTCTAATACATGAGATTCCCGAAGAGACCGAATTGTCAGGTCCGACCCAAGCCCCTGACAATTCCATGCTAGATAACTCATGGCGCCCGTGTGGCTGTCTTTGGCCAGCCACCACCGCCAGTTTCTGCTGCACTTTGAGCTTCAACATGTGAGTCCCTCAACTCCAAAGTTGGCGCCAAGACCACTGCCACTTCCCTCAACCCCTCCTCTGAGAATTCAATTACCTGGGGAACCTGTCCTCGCGACGTCGTCGTCCTAGCTTTTGGACTTTTAGTGAACCTTCGTTGCTTAATCCTTCCACTCTTCCCCTCAGCAACTAGCCCTTCACCTTTCAAGACTTTTGGTTTTTTTCCTTCCTTCAAAGACCTCCAACTGGACTCAGCTTCTCTCTTAACGCCCATTCTTTCGAAAGCCACATTGGCGTTTAAACTAGGCCCATGGGTTGAGTCAGTATTGTTTTTTCCAGCATGAGTTGTTTGGCTTAGATCCTTCTCAGTTTGGGAATCCAGCTCCTCAAGAGCTACAGAGGTTTGGCCCTTCTCTGAAGGCCCAAGCAAGGCCCAATTTGGGGTAGCATGCTGACCAAAAGACATTTGAGAGTGGGCCCATTGAAAGTTATCCTCAAAAGGTATGGGTGTTGTCCTCTCAGGCCAAGCCCAGTGGCGTGGGTTATGCTCCTCAACTAGAAACACTCCACGCCTACCTAGAGAGCTAGTACTTCCCCTGACACTATTTGTGTGCCACTCAAAAATCTGCATGTCAGGGTGTGAAACCTGCCTACCGCCCCCTTCTCTTGCGCTATCGCTTTCAATCCTTTCCTCCTGACCAGAGATGTGATCTGAAATAGCCGTTTGCCCCATAATTATATTGCTTACAGGCTCAGTCAGTTGTTGTTGTCTCGAGGTTTCTTGGTTTGTGTGTGCAATGTCTCCATCAGTTTCCTCCCTACCCCCACCTTCCATTTGCATGTGGCCCACACGTGCCACCCTAGAAACCAGATTGACGGTGCTTCTTTCCCCTGCTCTACGGCGGACAGCCCGGGGGGTAATGGAGGTACCCTGGCCGCCCCTTGCCCGAATGGCTCTCGCTTTCATCCAGTCACCATAAGCAGCCGTTTCCGCACCCTCCTCCTGATTTGCCAGAAATTTACAGCCGTTCTTCGTGTGACCCAGCCTCCCACAGTCATAGCAAAAATCAGATAGCTTCTCATACTTCAATTCCACCCATGTGGCCCGGCCTTCGGCTCTTGGAAGCCAAAACCCAGCAACTAGAGGGGCTCGACAATCGATCTGAATTCGGCTCCTCAAGAAGCCCCGTGGACCCATGCTCCAGGGATCCTCAACTTCCAGAACAGATCCAAGCTTTCCACCAATCTCTGCTGCGTTCTCGGTCGACATAAGGTTAAGGGGTATTCCATGAATTTGGATCCAATAAGCAACCAGGTGAGTCGGGATTTCTTCAATTGCCATGTTACTTGGCCATCTCTGCACTGAAAAACAAAAGCCCATCACTGACCATGGACCCTCATCTACAATTTTATCCGCTGTATCCTCATCCTGGGCAAGGATAGTGAACACATTCCCCTTCATGTATGTGATTTTCGTCTCCCCAAAGGAAGCCCAGGCTGTCGACAGGATGTTCTTGATAGCACCCCTATTTGGAAGCTTTTCAGCTACGATGGCACCAATCAATTTAGTTCCACTCTCCAGGCTTGAGAAGCCCAGGGTCTCTTCAAGTCTAATAACCAGCTCCTCCGTTCTAGCGTCCGCCATAGTGGTTTCCAACGAAGTCCCACACGTGTAGTTTCCTACCAAGTAAGTCGGTTCTGTTTGGGTTGGGTTTGTAGGAGACACTATCAGAGTTTGTTTCCAGTGAAAGTTCCTTTGCAGGGGGGAAGTTTCAGTTCTATTTGGACTCCAGGGAAAGATTGTATGGTTGTTGTCTTGATGGTGGTAGGTGGCCCAAAATCTGTACCAAACTAGGATCTTTATTACCCAGCTCATCCAGACTTGTTTTGTGCTCATAACTCTCCTCCTCTTCGATAATTGGGAAGAATAAATGTCTGCCGCCCTTCTACAAGAGAAGTAGGTGGGAGTCATAACTCCAAGCTCCCAAGGAAGCTGGTCACTGTGAATGTGCCGTTGAGGGAAAAAAGACTCACACATGGGTGAGGGAACTCTCATTGTAGAGAGAGAGGCTCTCATAGTAGAGAGGGGACTCTAAGCTCTTTGCTCAGCCTTAAACAAGCCAATCGTGTCTTGCTCTTACTTTTTATTTTTTCGATTATTTGTGGACGGCAGATTCATTCATGCCTCTAATAATTGTCGTCCGCATTTGTCACGCCTACTTTCATTTCATCTGCCTCGTTCTATAGCAGCCGTGTATATCGTACACGACAACGATGTACACAACTTCGTACAATGTACATTAAAAAATAGGTCAAACTTACATTTCTGAGTCCTTAGAATTTGCTTGATTTTTCACTTGACACTTTTGATCATTAGAGATTTTTATAGGACTAGGCTAATTTTTTATTTTATTTTTACAGGAGATATATTATACGCCTTTTTTTCTTCTCTTGAAACGAAAATGTGAATAAAATTTTATAAATCAAATAAGGCCACATTACGAGCAAATATAACACAAAAAAGTACAAAATATAAATAAATACCAAATCAAACACATTGTTCAACTACTTGAGATCCGAGTTGAGAAAGTTCCTCAGAAATTGAAGTATCAACATTATATGCAGAAGGTGTATGTGTATCCTTATTATCGTTACCTTTTTTCAGACATGATGATCCTAACAAGAAATACTAGACACCAAAAATCATATATACTAAATAATAATTTAAGTTGCAAAAATAAAACATATATAACAATCCCCAAAAGTTTTCACCCAAACCCTAAATCATAAAAATTTAACGATGACAATTCAAATTGGAAATTGAATATAAACAATTCAGAGCTATTTATTCCAGGCTATGAAGGTTCAAATATGGTGGTTTGGGTGGCTAGAAGAAAAATTCTGATGTTTGCTTCTAATCAAATTTATACAGGCTATGAATTGCATATTTACTATTTCCTATATGCTTCAAGAGTGGGCTTATTTCTATATAGAGAGCTGAACTTATTTGCTTTACCTATATTTGGCTTAAACCACTAAAACTACACACACACACACACAAAAATCAGCACTGGGTTGGAGCAAATGTAGATCCGTCCTTATGCCACCCCTCTAGTTATGGGGCCTACTGGAAAAATACCCAAGCTAGAAGAATCAACTTTAGTCATTTTCTCTTAATTTAATTTATAATAATCTCTATTTACGTTTCCCAAAATATTGCACCACTTGTTGGCAAGAGCGCTACTACTAGGATAATGTTGTTTATAAATCTTAAGTAAACTTGCACGACTATAAAATGATAATGCAAATCCAATATTTTTACCATTTATATTAATATATATATATTATATATGATATATAATATTATAATATATTAGTGTGATGGATAAATATTAGAATGTATGTAATTGTGTGGTGGTAATGGTTTATTTGATATTAGGAGCCAGGATAGATACGAAAGAGCTACGTGTGGCTTGATCCCTTAGTAGGGTACGTAGGCAGCCTGAAGTTACTAGGTGCAGCCACAGATTAGACCCCACTTAGGTGGTCTTATTGAGATTGGTTTGGACCTCGTTGATGGTCCCGAAACTTAGTTGAATTGAGACTCGTCCTGTGGACTGAGCAAGTGAAGGTGTGCATAAATAGATTTGGAATTTGGTATATGCATGTTTGATGCATTAAGTTATTTTAAAAGCATTGTGGGCAGTTCTGCTAGAATCATTTGAAGGCCGGAGGCCATTTATGTAAATTGCATGAGATTATATTGTGCATGCTGCCAGTTGGGTTATAAATGTGTTTTATGCAGGTGGAAATTTTGGGGAAATGTTCAATTTACAGGGGAGACTCTGCCGAAATTTCGGCAGAAAGTCTCGTGCCCTTAATCCTCTTTGGTAAATGAGGACATAGATTTAAGGAGTGAACCCGGCGTGGGTGTGATGCCGGGGTCTCCGCAGGGTTCGTCTCGGGTTCCGGAAAATTCGGGACGGGTCCTGTCACTTAGTTTTTGGGGGTGGACATGCTCTTACTATACACTCGTGTTGTCAACCAAAAATCTAACCGAAGAACATTTATGCTTTTATTGCATGTTTACTTACCAACGATGAGTATGGGAAGTATGAGAGCGATTCTAATACCTAACTTCTCCGACGTTACTAAAACATGTGAATCCCATCTTAAATATGTAATCACACATCCTCAAATCAGAAATTAGATCGACTAGGGAGTTGTTGACCTAATTCCCATTCATGTTCCTCCTTTTCCTTCCAAAAACTAACCTTACAACTTTACAATTCTCATTTGATTTCTTAGTGTTTTTTTGGGGTGTCAAAGTTTGAAAAGGGGACAGGGCCCGGGGGAGGTGTCATTGGGGTTTGAACCTAATAGGGGCGGAGCCATGTAGGGACCATAGTGGTCCCAGGCCCCCTCAATCTTTATATCCCTTGTAATTATATATTATATATGATATATAATATTATAATATATTAGATTATTTTTAGGATATTTACTCTAAAATAAATCGACCAAAGCAGCATGCTAACTCTCTCCTTTTTTTTTCCCTCTTTTTTTATCCTTTTCTTAGTGATTAAGCTCAATTACCGTATAAAGTCATCATATCACTCTTTTTAGGATTATATTTTCCGCAACTTGCATTGGTTTACTTTTCAAATGTAACATAGTCATGTGAAATGAAATACAACAATTTTATTATTGAAAGCTAAAACGAATACATAGGGCTCGTAAATAAAAACAAAAACAAAAAACTATTAATCGATATTTATTTATTTGATCGTAAATAACTAAATTTCATTAACCGGAAGCATTGGTTACAATAAGGTCATCAAGAATACAATTCATTAGCCACACAGAGTCTTCTTCTAACCAATAACAAGGACCTTGTTCGTGTAAAGCAAAACAAGCAATAGCACGAACCACTTTGTTACACTCCCTAAGTCGAAATTGGACTTCCTTTAAAGAAAACCGCATGAGGAAGTCTCTCACATCATCCACAATGTTGCTGACAATAGCCCAAATAGTTTCCCCTGAATTAATCATCATAACAGCCTCAGAAGTGTCAGATTCTATGAGGAAAGGGAAAAAAACCAGCAGCTGTAGCAAATAAAATTCCTCTATAGATAAATTGCAATTTTGTAGCTAAAACGGAAACCCCGTGAGGGCTTTGCATGGACTAGGGCATCCATAAAAACTCCAGAATCATTACGAACAACTACACTTATACTACGCAAGCCTGTTGCATTGTCAATAGCTCCATCAACATTGAGCTTAGATTAACCCTACAAGCACGGACAACGCCTCTGTTGATATATTTCTTATTTATAATATTATGAAGCGAAAGCCCATAAATATATGAAGCCAAATTATCAACCTAATATAAAGCCAACATTGCAATCACCATTCTAATTTCTAAATTGCTGACATGAGCATCTACAACAGTATTTTCAAAGGCTTTTAAATAATATATATTTAGTTATATACTCATTCTTAACATTAATGATATAGATAAATCATACACCATTCAACATTCATATAAAGTAACAAACTAATAATCTAATTATATTAAAAGTTAATGTGTGTGATAAAGCATAATAACAAATGGTGATAACCAATAATAAAATATTAAGTAGAAAAAAAAATAATGAAATTAATATAAGTCGTTTAATTCGATCTTTTTTCAAATAAACCAAATCGAACCACACCACTTGTTTATACCATATTTGACCAAGCAACTAGAAGCAACTCTAGGCAAAGTAAAGAGTCCCACATTGGAATATTACAAGAAGTGAAGGCTCCCCCTCACCTATAAAAGGAGATCACTCTCCCCTTAGAAAAGGATCCTTGAGCTGGGCTTGATCTTTAGTAATGACCTTCCCCTTTCTTGCATTTAAATTTGGGTCCAACCCCATGTACAAATGTAACTACACAATATTACAATAATGAGAATATACTTCTCCGTGGACGTAGCCCATTCATTAAGGGTGAACCACCTATATCTTGTCTTCTGTATGTTTATCGCTTGCTCAAATCCTCACACACTTGGTGAAGGTCCTCACCTTCACCCATCATCCATCACACCTCATCACTAAGTTGGCCTCAAAAGTGCCGAACCATTTTTTGAGCGTCAACAGTTTGGCGCCGTCTGTGGGAATCGACACAAAAAGCTTCTGTCATTCTCCCATTCTTCAGTGCCTTTCGGCAGAGACCTTCGGCACCCCTACAATCAGCATCACCTAACTTGCCGAACGGCAATACCATAATGGAGCAACCATGAGGGTCAAGAGAGTAACATGCAGAAGATAAATCCTTGCAATATAATAGTCAGAAGAAGAGGAAATACAGGGACCACCCTAACTTTTCTTTACATGCCATACCGTTCGGCATATTCCTTGGAAAACATTATTGGAGGAAGCCACTATTTTAGCCCAGGGGACTTTGTTTCATCATCGGCCACCTTATTTAATATTGGAAGGAATGGACCACCACTAGGATGAAGGAATCCAAAGCTAGGCCACGTGAATAATATGCAAATGATAAGCAACATGACTATTTGCTTATTATTTATTATTATTTGAGGGATAATGTTGTTGATAACATTGCTTCATGCTCCCCTAAAATGCTAATGGAAACCAAAGCTGCTGTTCGGCACCCACAGACTAAGTAATTACTCAAGTCACCCTGGAGGCACCTCATCATCAAAGCAAAGGTTGCAAGGCTCACAGTATCGTTCGGCACCCTTTCATCATTCGGCATGCGATGTCTTTACATCCCCTCAATGATTCAGAATCGGCCTTCGGCCTTCGGCCATCGGTACCTTCCATCATTCGGTGCGTGCGATGTCTTCACATCTCCCCAATGATTCGGAATCGGCCTTCAGCCTTCGGCCATCAGCCTTCTGCCATCGGTACCTTCCAATTATTCGGCGCGTGCGATGTCTTCACATCCCCGCAATGATTCGGAATCGGCCTTCAGCCTTCAGCCTTCAGCCTTCGGTCATCGGTACCTTCCATTATTCGGAGCGTGCGATGTCTTCACATCCCCCCAATGATTCGGAATCGACCATCAGCCTTCGGCACCCTTCCATCATTCGGAGTGCGATGTCTTCATATCCTCCCAATGATTCGGCATTCAGCCTTCGGCCATCAGCCTTCGGCCATCAGTACCTTCCATTATTCGGCTCGTGCGATGTCTTCACATCCCCCCAATGATTCGAAATCGGCCATCAGCCTTCGGCACCCTTCCATCATTCGCGTGCGATGTCTTCACATCCCCCCAATGATTCAGAATTGGCCTTCGGCCTTCGGCCTTTGGCCATCAGCCTTAGGCCATCGGTACCTTCCATCATTCGGCGCGTGCGATGTCTTCACATCCCCCTAATGATTCGAAATCGGCCTTCCGTCTTCGACCATCAGCCTTCTGCCATCGGCACCCTTTCCATCATTCGTCGCGTGCGATGTCTTCACATCCCCCCAATGACTCGGAATCGGTCTTCAGCCTTCGACCATCAGCCTTCGGCACCCTTCCATCATTCGGCGTGCGATGTCTTCACATCCCTCCAATGATTCAGAATCGGCCTTCGGCTATCAGCCTTCGGCCATCGGTACCTTCCATCATTCGGCGCGTGCGATGTCTTCACATCCCCTTAATGATTCAGAATCGGCCTTCGGCCTTCGGTCATCGGTACCTTCCATCATTGTACGCATGCGATGTCTTCACATCCCCCAATGATTCAGAATCGGCCTTCGGCTATCAGCCTTCGGCCATCGGTACCTTCCATCATTCGGCGCGTGCGATGTCTTCACATCCCCCCAATGATTCAGAATCGGCCTTCAGCCTTCGGCCATTGGTACCTTTCATCATTCAGCGCATGCGATGCCTTCACATCTCCCTAATGATTTGGAATCGACCTTCCGCCTTCGGCTATCAGTCTTCGTCTTCGGTACTCCGTCATCATACTACTTGGAAGAAGACTAAGGTGTTGCTCAGTCAATGCATTGAAAATTGCAAGTCTTCAACCAATGAGTACCTCCTTGCTTGAGAACTTGGGGGACTTCT